TATTTATTTGTTATAACTTCAAAATGAAAGTTTTATTCAAACTGAAAAATATTCCTACATTCTCTGTTGGACTCCCATATACTGTACATCTTTGTAGACCACTGTGTTCCTTTCAGTATGTAAAATTAGTTTTGTTTTATACCAGATTGTGAATGGAAGATTGTCCATTTTCTAGAGTCTGTGAATCACATTTTGTCTTGGATTTGTTTGTTACTGGAAAATTCTCTAAAAGAAGAATTTTTTTCTTGTTTTGTTTTAACTTGGAAGCACCAGATGTTTGCTTAGGGGCTGACAGTCAGCTCAGTGATAGAAGTGGCTGGCAAAAAAGCAATATCAATGTTAGGAAAACCACTGGAAACAAAATGTCTATTGCCTCCTTAAATGTATATTTATATACAGCTTTAAGTGGTTCATCTTACTCTGTATGTGCAACACTTGTTTTTAATTTTGTGTTATCAAGAAAGATGCAGCAAGAAGTCACTAATTTAAAATTGTCATTTTAACCTGAATGATGGAAATCCTGATTAGCAACTCAGAGAAAGAACAGAGGGGAGATTTTATTGTGCAAAACCTGAGCCATACATATTAAATATTGATTATGGTGTTTTGATTCTTTGAAAAAATAACTTGTCTGTCATATTAGATATAAAATGTTATTGCTATGGTGCTTGTTCATCTATCTCTTCAGAGATGATGGGACGAAATTTCACCGTCATATTTTGCACAATGTCAAAGATAGCTTGAAGCTAAGTCTGTGCCACATTACGGTTTCCTTTTTGTCTTGGGTTGGCTGTTCCAACTGTACCTCTTGAGTGACTGTTTCATAGCAGTTCCCTTTGCATTTGCAGTGGGCAAGGTGTAACCTGCATAGTGCTTCTAACAGGTTCAGGCACAGGGCAGAGGATGCTGATTTCTGGTATACAGCCCCAACAGCATGGGTCAGAATGATCACTGAGGCTTTTTTATCTTTCTCCCAGATGAGAAGAAAGTTTTAGTTTTAAGGTCTGTATCTAACAAAACTACAGAATGGCTGACAGGAATGTGCTTTTTCCTCTTTTCAATGTTCATGTCAGATTTTAGAAAAACCCAAACAACCAAACAACCAAAACCTTACAGTGTGTGTGTGCAGCTTATTTTTGAAGAACTGTTAAACTTCTCTTAATATTGTTTATGGCTTGGGATTTTGGACAGCTTTTGTTACTGTTGTTTGAAATCAGCACCTGACTCTTGGCTAAACTCTTTTTGAAGTTTCTCAGAGATTTATCCCCTCACCTAGACATTATTTTGAAACTTCCCAGTATCAGCTGTTTCTGAATCAGTCTCCTTACATGTAGCACAACTTCAGGAAATCATTCTGAAATCAATCGCAGAATGCAGAGTGGATGGTTCTCTTACAGTCTTGTCGTGACACAGACAAGTCCATGGGTAGATTAAATGTTAGATCCTGGCAACAGGTGATGGTGGAGGGAATCACATACGTGTAGTTGCAAGGTTCTCTGAAGAACGTATAGTGCAGCTGTGGAGCCATGTCAGGGAAGTGAGTGTGCACGAAATTGAAGATATAATGAGAACTGTAATATTTATATCTCCTCAAGGAGGGAGCACTGCATTAAATGTAAAGCTACTGTAAAAGAAACCTGTCTGCCGTGTTTACTAGGCTTGCTGAAAAGCTTCAGTAAGTGTCCTTAATATAAACTGACTTTGATTGGAGTATTGTTTTTATATTTCCTCTGTAAGTTCAGGTTCCTTTTCAGTATAAATAGTCATGCATCTGAAACATTTGAACTGGTATTCATCTGCTGTTTCCCTGTCTGAAAACTGCTATCTGATCAAACCAATATTTTTTAATTATGTATTTATAGGCAGATGGGAGAATAGTTTACAGTCAATGTATGATCTTCTCTGCAAATCTTGGAATATTGTGTTGGGGTTTTTTTAATATTGCCTTATCAGTTTCTTTTTTTTATTACTGATGACTTCATTCTGTTTGAATTCAATGCTTCAGTTTCTTTGGGGTAAACTAATAGATTATGTATGCGATATTTGCACAGTGCTGATTGAATTCATCTGGTGAGTTTGAATGTGGTTCATATATTCACATAATTGTCAGGAGCCAACTTGAAATTCAGAACTGTTTCATGAGCATTGCACAGGGCATCATATTTATCTCACTTTACCCAGGAGTGGGTAAAATTTTCATGGTAAGCTAGAATGCAGCTCTTTCAAAAGCCAATGTCTTTTGCATAAACTGTGGTCAAGAAAAGAAAAAAATTAAAAACCCGTGGAACTTTAACTTTATCCTGAAAAAGTGAAGCAGATATACTGACTGACCCTCTTCCAACCTGTTAACCCCACCTTTCTAACAAATTCTGAACCTACTGGCTTTGACTAGACTTGACTGGTGGCTTGATGCTCAAGAGATACTGGAACACTAAGTTTTATGACAATAAGCAGCCTACTAGCAAGGCCCGGATGAGTGTTCTTGCTGGAGTGAAGCTCTGCAGTGTGAACCATTATCGGACACCAGAGAACCCACAGGAGAGAAGCACAGGAAATCAGACTTCACGGAGCTGCTAATTTCCACAGAGATTATGCTTGTATTTTCACACTAATCCAGATGGATAACTTTGCATTTGCTGCTATCTTTCATCCAAACGTTCCTACTCATTCTCATGGTTAGGGGTTTGTACTTTAATACAGTGTGGCAAAGGTTTGCCAAAGCACAATATGTCAGGCCCTGTCTTGTAATATATATCATCAACTTGAACTCTGCAGCACCACTTCTGCTTGCTGGCTCAATGGGTTTGAGCAGAAGGAATTTCACCTACAGCAGATCTGCAGTCAGTGGAGCACAGGCTGCTGTTACTGTCTCTTAAAATACATCTATCTCAGACTTTGTTTTAAAAGGGGGAAAAAAAACAACCTATGTGGTATTTTCAGATTACCTCTTCAGACAAAATACCTGGAGGTAGAAAGTGGGTATGTAGCCATTAGGGCACTGGTGGCAGGTGCTAATACAGTTTGCAGAGAGCTGCAGGGAGTCAGATGGGCTGGAATCAAACTAGACCTGTTGCCTGTATTTCAGCATTTCCCTGTTAGCTAGTGCTGCTGTGGGCAATGATGTTGGCAAAGCAACTGGGACAGTACTTTGGGCCTTATCTGTAGGTTAGCAGCCCTAATTAAATGCTTTATCTGTACTCACAAGTAAAGTCAGGGGATTTCACCGGTATTGTACTGCTCGTGAGCTGTGGACCAAGCTTCACTGTTCTAAGTGATAGTCCCCATTAGCTACACCTCAGTGTTCTGCAAACTGGAAATGGTTCTCTGCTATTTGACGAGAATTCATGCAAGGAGCAGAGGCATTTATCTGTGGAAGGAATAAAGGGGAAAAGGGAATATACGTTTTCTTCCCCCTCAATAGTCCACAGAGTTTGTGCAAGCTTTCTGCACTGTCTTGGCAGACCATGAGAAAAATTTCATATGCCCTGGAAGACTTGGGTAAGTCAGCTAGAGAAGCTTGAAACCTCTGGGACTTCACAGAGTAGAGTAGATGGATAACTTAGGATCTAGGAAAGGAAAGTAATTTGATTTTTCATGGAAACATACTGATGCTACAAGTAAACATTTCCAATCCTGACTGCATATTCAGTTGCATTTGCAGCCTACATGGAATTTCCCTTCATTGGCAATTAATTTGCAGTTGGTCTGGATTGCTGATAGATACTAGAAACTAATTACTATTGAACTGATAGGTTTATGTCCAGTATTTTGTATGTGCTGTCCAAATTCAGTTTGCTATGCAAATCCTATAAAAGGCTTCCCTAGATTCTGGCATACTCATAGGGGACTGCAGTGTATCGAGATGCTCCACTGAGTCTGTGCTTATGTGAATAAATCTCTATCTCTGTAGTCCGCTGTTGGTGAGACAGAGTTAAGGTTGTAGATTAGGAGAATATATGATGATGTGCTGCAATAACAATGGTTTGAATTAAGAAGCAGCCACAAATTATTGTATGATAATTCCCCATGAATGCCAGTAAATGCTACTGAGCCATACAGTCAGTATTCACCCCAGTGCTGACTAGAGCAGGGCTGGAAATAGCTGCAGAAAACTTAATTTATTAATTTCAAATACGATCAATTTTTTCTTAATTCTTAGCCATTTTCAGGATTTCATTTAATATTTCCAGGTTATAGCTTGAAATTCCACAGTTGTAAAAATCCAGCTGTAAGGTTTAGAAGGCTCACCGGGGTCAAAACCTACAGAAAGGCATGTATTTAACTTGGTAAACTAAGGAACTCCACCAGTTTTACCACAACAGTTTGCAGAGTATGCAGTTCAGCATACAAGTGAGTCTTTGTGGATTACTAAGTGGATTACTGCTTAATTACCACTTAGAAAGGTGATGTCAGGATTTAATAGTGTGCTTTCCCGTCTCTCTTGCCTCCTCTGTATTCTCATGGCGGATGTTTGAGTTCTTTGTATAATTGGGAGGGAGTTTGGTTTTTTATAACATAAAACTTCTTTCTGTGCTTCTCGGTGAATAATAGTTTATTCTTTACCTGGAACAAATGTAATTTTAGGGAAATTCCACATTTAGTGTGGGAGCAAAAGGAAACTTTTTTTTTTGTCAGCTTATCATCGTCATCGTTATTATTAATATATGACAGCCATTTATAGCTGCTCATTGGAATGTTAAAAGTTTTCTGGTGCTCCCCCATCTGTCTGCATCCATCTGTTGTCTCTTGTCTTGTACTGGAATTGTTAAGTTCTTTGGACAGGGACAGACTTTTTTAAAAACAGGGATCAAGTTCACAATTAGCAGTTTTATTAATACAAGAAAGCAAAAATAAGGGTGATACAGAGGACACCATGCAAGTCCAGCGAATCAAACATAATCCATTTGTCTCAGGTCTGGCAATTCTGTGTGTTTACCTGGTATTAGATATGTGTGTTCATAGGAGTTTTATTTCATTTGCTGTTTGTTTTTCTTTCTCAGTGGCTGTACAGGTAGTGGGAATGCTGATCGTATCCAGAGGTTACGGAAGGAGTACCACCAGGCCAGGCGAGAAGGTTTACCTTTCTATGAGGACGACGAAGGACGAACACAGCTGTCTGACTACGACCAGCGCTGGGTAGGTCCATAGCATGATGCAAAGTGCTTTTGCAACATTCAGGGTTAGTGAAAGGTGCATATTTGTTTTTGGTTTCCTATATCAGCTTAACTTGAATTTGCCAGCCCACTAAAGAAAATGTTAATAACAAGAACTTGGCTAAAATTAACTTGCCTGTTCACTGTGTTTGGTTTAGGCCCAGGTTTCTTCTCTTTAGTCCCAAGATACAGAGTCACTGCCAAACTGTGTCACAAGTGGTAGCATCAGGGCTTTTCAGCAGGATTTATGATACTCTTACAGTTCATCCAGTGATTCTCTGGGTTAATAAGAATGTTGGAAGAGCAGATTCTCCCTGTGCTTAGTTGCAAAGTGAGAGGGAGGAAATAGAGGTATGTCTACTTCAGTCCTTCCTTCTGTGTGCTGGACAGTAGCAATCTGGCCATGATACAGCCTCTGTAACTTTTAAATGTAATAATTTGCTCCTCTCCCATCAAAAGATCTTAAAATATTATATTACAGGCATGCTGTATTCCCTGTTTTACATCTAGGAGTCATACTACACAAAGACGTATTATCTACCCCTCTACTGAAGAGTAACCTATAACCCATGGTAGAATCAGAGATTAAATCAACAGTGCCAAATTTTTGAATGTATTAAATAAATGCAACACCTATAGTCAATGGGTACTCAAGAGCTCTGCCTGAGCAGGTTTCAGAGTTGGACTCTGTCTCTTTAGAAGTAATTATAATCAACCAGCATTCAAAAATGTAACTTTGATAAAATGCAGTTCGTGCTAAATTTGAAATTTTAGTTTTAAAAGACACGGAATTATGTTAAAATCTCAAGAATCTATATACATGTGAAGTTTGAACTAATATTGTTGGGTTTAATGTCTCCAAACTATCAGCGTGAATGCTGAAGTGAAATCTGCAATGATTGAGGTTGTAGTCCAAAAAATCCTGAGCAAGACTAGACTTCACTGCAATCACAGAGAGATATAGAGTTGAAAGGGGTATTTTTACATAAATTATCATATATATTTGTTCATTAACTCCAAAACTGTTGTTGTATATATTACTCTGATTCAATTACCAAAACTGTCATCTTCAGCAAAATAATTCTTTCCTTGGAGCAGTTAACTGTAGTCTACTGCCTTAAATTTTGTGAACCAAATTTGGGAGCCAATGTAGCTGCTATTCTTTTTCTGAATTGCTTTTGTAAACTAAAATAAGAATATGCGTCAAATGTGTCTTTCTCTTGAAATTCTGTGTTGTGATAAGGGTCCTGACAGCCCTCAGACTGGGTCAATGGTACCTCTTCAGCAACCTGAGGATTTCTACTTCTTATCCGAAACTGATAAAGCTTTATTGATTCTCAGAGGAGGTTGAGATTTATGGTCCAGTGTAGTTTCACAAGATTCACAAAGGTTTCTTATAGGTAATCCTTTCTAAGCCTTTCCTATTAGGTATAATGCCCAGAGATTACCGATTTCCAAAGCTTTGCTTTTTCTTTGAGGCACGTTGTCCTTAATCAGAGTACCTGAAAGGGCGCTTTAAGTATCTCAATCTTGAAATTATTAATAATAGTGGCACCAGGATTGTTGTGTTTTGCCCTTCCAATGTAGAATATTTTTAAATGTTTTTGTTGTGAGGAATGGCAGTCAGTTCAAAAATCAGAGTTTACCTTGAGGGCTTTAATACTCTGAAGTTTGTTGCTGCAACAGTTCTTCTTGTTAAAGTGGTTTATAAATTTCCAAGACTTCTGGTCTTTTCTCTGCAACAATATCTCCCATTGATCCATCCAGCCTTGTTTTCATAGGCACTGTCTTTTAGTCTGGAAAATATTGCAGCCACAGCTTGCTCTCTTTTGACTCATGGCTGAAATTTGTTAAAATACCTATATTACATCAATCTATTCAGACAGAAAAGAAGGAACAAAAAGAGAATCAAAATACTAAAAAGAAAACAAATGTCTCAAAATATCTTACCACAAGACTCCTCCAGATATTTTTTAAGCAAAGCCATCATTCCCATCTCAGGCTGCTGACCTTCAGCAGTACTGTGGTAACACAGACTGAACAACAGCTGATTTTTTTTCTACCTTTATTCATCAGTGAAGATGACTAATTGCATAATTGTGAATAAATAAAAACTTACTCTAATCTTCAGGATGTCAGGTCTTCCTTTAAAGAGTCAACAGACAGCTGAGGAGGAGGAGGAAAACCTTCTGGTATAAGTTTTCTTCCTTCCCACGGGAGGTTATGGCACCAGGGAAGCTGCAGCTGGAAAAGAGATCCTGGGTCTCTCTATGTATTTTTAAGACTCTATTAGTTCTTTTCTTGCTTTTCTCAGTCAACTGTTTTACCTAAGCCAACTTTCCTACAAGATGTCTCTCTAATGTACAGCAGCTGCTGTAATCGCTTCCCACCATCTCATGAAACATGCAGATAAGTTGGGAAAAGCAGAGGATAATTTGAGAAGACACTATCCCATCGCAAATCAGCAGCCTCAAAAATGGACCCTGGGTCTTGTTCTTCAAAATAGTATCTGAGAACTCATGAGGCAAATTTCTATCTGATAAAGCTGACATTGACAAGTGGCCTTTAGCTGACACTGTAATGGGACAGAATTTCTAATACAAGGGGTATTTCTAACAATCTACTTTTTTTAAGCGGGATAAATCAAGTTAAAGTGCAGAGCCGGCTGAAAAGCTAGCATTGTAGGGGGAAATGATCTCATGACAGGCAATTGGGATCCATAAATGTTTTAAAAATAAGGTCAAAAATTCATTTTAAATAGGCCTGCTATTCTCTCATCCATTCCTCCCCCCTGCATCCATTTTCCAATTCTTCTCTGTTCTTCTCATCTGTTACTGGATGAATTTTTGCTCTCTTGCGCCTTCATTCTGCTCTCTCTTCCCCAGTCTGTTCTTTTCTTTTTGTAAGGAACTGAATAGTTCAGTTTAGTGTGTCTCCATAAACAGATGCATGTATATAGCACTATCTGTGCTATAAAACCAGATCCTTTGAAATTCTTTTCCAGTTCCATTGTGCTTCCATTTGTTGTTGAGTTTTGCATCCTTTGGATTTACCTCCCGCCCCCCTTCTCCCACCCTTTCTTTTTAGATTTACAATCGGGATAAATGATAAACCAAATTCTGTAGGGTGGATCACAAGGCTTAAAGTAAACCTCAGCTAGTTAACCAAAGGACAGGCTGATGATAAGTATAAATATTGTCTAGGAAAATAAATGCCTATTGTTGTCAGTGTAATGTGAGATTAGCCTAAAATTTTCTGACAGCTAGAGTACATTATGATGTATCAGCTCAAAAAAGAGTTTAGGCATATGCACACATCCTCATGTCTTAGTACATATTCAAAGTACTCATGAACTCATCCAATACAAACCTAATCTGGGTCTACTGAATGAGGCAGAGGATGTTTATGTACCATTATCGTAGCTGCAGTATCAGTCAGACCCTGAGAGAACTATGTAACCATTAAGCTTCAAGAACTTAGTCTCTCTAGGAGTTGGAAGGCTTTTTCACAGACGCTCCTTTTCAGGGCTTTATAGTCACAGTCTAATAGCAGATCATAAGAAATAGCTAAGGAGCTGTCAAGACAAAGCTGTGCAGTTAGCATCTGCACTTGTATTTAAGGGCATTTAAATAATGAGGAATTAATCATCTATTTGAGGATTTACTTGGATTGTCTTACAGACTTTGTACAAATCCAGTTACTTAAAACATCAATTCTTTCCTTCAGGGTGGCAGTAAATCCTTGAAACTTTATCTTTTTAATGTACGTTCAAGGATTGTATGTAATGCCAGCCACACTGCAAATAGTTCTTCACCTGTTAGTGAGACCACATCTGCTTCACTGCACCAAACCTTCTTTTAACTGGTTCTAAAAGCCATTTCCTTATTTGCTGGTAGATTTGCAAGATTGTAAATAACCTAAAGATAAAAGAAAACCTGTCTCTGGATACTGGCTGTGAACATTCCCATTGAAACAAATCCGTAATGTACTGAGTTTTGTCAGTTCCGTGTTGAGAGTATGAAAGAAGAATCATGCCTGTCTGTGTTAAAGGCCAAGTACTTTATTGTGTGCCTGGCAGGGGTCCAAGCCTAAAAATCAACCAGAACAAAGAAAGGAGCATTAATAACTGCATTATTTTTCCATAATGTGTCAAAGGTTCTATGCCTGCTCCAGGATGAATAAGGAGCTGTTTGTACTTTTCATGATCAATTAATTCCAGGTTCAGGATGTTGCATTTCAAATAGGTTAGGTTCCCAAAACACGCAAACGTTTGTGTTGGACCATGGTTAGAAACCAGAATTCCAACTTCTAGAATAGTAACATTCCTGTCTTCTAGCGCAATGGAAGAAGCTGACAATTTTATGTACTATGTGAAACCATATAGCAGAAACTGATGCAAATTCCAGACTTCGAGTCCATAGACTATTAGTAGGAAACAAAAAATTAGAAAAAAAAAAGGGACAATAACTTATTTAAAGTATAGCTGCTTTGAAAAACATGGATCAGAAGTTGTTGTTGTTAAAATATTAATTGAGTACGCAAAACACTTTATTAGGATGTATGATTAACTTACCAATCAAGAACTTTTTATGGTCACTACTTAGCTCTGCATAATGAAGATTTCGGATTGAGGTGTATTCTACAGAGCTGTCCAAACTAAGCAGAGTGATTTTGAAACATACAGGCCAGCTTTTGGGGGTAGTTTTGGGAGGAAATTATTTGGGAAAAATCCCTGCCAGACCTCATGTGAAAAATAAACTATTCCAAATGGCACATGCAAGAAGAGCCAAATTCACTTCCATTAATACTAGTAATAAAGAGTGACTCCTATAACTTGTTTGGAGTCATTCCTACTTACACAAACGTTGGATTTGGCACAGATTATCTGAACCAGAGGGGAGCCTGAAATGCTCATGTCTTCATGGATATACCGTGTACATGCTCTTATTTACCAGGGGAAACAGTTCTGGTGCCATATGTCAT